GATCTACATCCTTCATACATCTTCTTTATATATCTAACTATATATGTTGGCACTCTCTTTTTTTGCAGCCCTATATCAATCATAGAATGGGGGATTGTATCAAATGCTTTAGTTATATCGATCATTGTTATTACTCCTCCACTTGTACTTTTCATTTTATTGATTATTTCCTTTAATAAAGTAGTATTAAATCTACAGCCATCTTCATTAGAGAAGCCTTTTTGTTGGTTAATTTGCAGTACAAATTGCCTTAGTTTATTGTCTAACACAGCCGAAAAAGTACGACTAAGCAAGGATCCGATAGTAATAGGTCTCCAATTGTTTAACTAATTTAAATTTTTATCTGGCTTTGGGATTAGTGTCGTCCTATTCGTTTTCCACGACGTAGGAAAATGTCCTTCTTTTAATAAAATATTAAATAAAATTGTTAAAAGTTCCACTGTACCTGCCTGCATCAAATGACACTGTTTTATGCCATCAATTCCAGCTGCTGATTTATTTTTAGTCTTTACTATTCTATTCTTGATTTCTTCCATTGTAATTGGCTGAATAGTGTCACTTAATTTTAATGGCGGTAAAAATTCTTCTGTTTTACACAAATTATATTTTTTTGGGCCTTTTTGCCCCCAGAGATCAGAGTACAATTTTTTTATATTCTCAGCTTGTGGTAGATCCTGTTCATAAAAGAGAAGTCTCCTTTAATTGTATGTTCTGTTAGCTTTTTAGGATATTTGTTGAAGAGTTCCTGACATCTCGCATATCCAAACTTTTTTCGTTGATTATGATTTTTATTCATTTTATTTTTGTATAAACACCTATTTTTATTTTCATCTATATTGTTATCGTTATATTTATTATCCTTTTTATTATTGTTATTGTTTTTATTATTACTTTTACTGTTATCGTTATGCTTATTACTATCTTTACAGCTTTTATTCTCGTTATAGCTATTCTTTTTGTCTTTTACATTTATATTTAGTAATTTCGGAACGATTTCTTCATCAATAATTTTATCTAGTAGTGGAAATAATATGTCAGGATCCTCTCTATTATTTGTCCATTCATTTTTTAACGAGGTTTCAATATTCACTAACTTGCTATGAGACGGTATTTTAATCAGTTCAATATAATTATACATAGTATTTTTCCATGACTCTTCAATATTTAAATGGGAATTGACCTCTATCAGAGATATACTTTGCTCTACTTGTGTACTGCTTGATCCTTGAACAAGGCGGATCAATATTATCCAAATCGGAGGCTATCTTGTTATTTAAGCATCTCCACCTATCGCTTATTTGTTTTAACGTTTTCTTTGGAAAATAAGTTTTTATCTCTTTATTAGGAAAACGTGCCTCTCTAAATCTTTCGTCGAGAGCAAGATTAGCAAATTGGTCTCTTCCTGATTCCAGACATATTCTCGCCTCCCTGGAATACCATGAGACTTTTCTGCCTCTATTTGGCGCCTTAAATTTCGTATTTTAGAGTGTTCGTGCCTTTCGTGTTGTGACAGTCCAATTTTTGAATTGAAGAATTGTTCACATTCAGTACACTTAAACAATTTATCTTTTATTATTGGTGGACCTTTACATTTTGGACGATGACCATTCCAATTCTTAATGCAAATGTCTTGGAACAACTTGAGCATTTTAATTCAATTTCAATATTATTATGTTGCTCTCTATAATGGCACATTAAATCTTTTAAATTTAAGAACCCTTGCAGAACATTTACAACGCGACAGGACTCACAATACGTAATATCACAAGCAAGTGGAACATTTATACTAATCCGCATACTAGTTTCACTAACCAAATCACAAGCCTAGTCATTACCAGTGGCCCCCTCATCAACAGCGGGTAAACCCGCCACAAGTGATCCGGGACCTGGATCGCCTATGTCCGAGGCATTACTGCGAGTACGTACCATTACAAAGTAGAAAAAGTGATACCGGGTGCAAAGTTCCAATCCAGAAATCCAAATTCGTGTACCTAAGAATAGCAATGGGTAGTCATACAATCCATTCGGGAAAACCCGCACATAAATGCTCCCTTTCTTCTTCCAATTAGCAAATGATGTATTTATTACTTTCCAGCAAGTACTGGTATCTGAAAACAGAAACGGTGACCAAGAACTTACTCAGATATTATCTAAACTTTCGGGTTATTCTCGTAAACTCCGTGTACAAAAGCACACGGAGCGCCTGAACCCCGTTTGCCACCCCGTTTATTAGACGGGGGCCCGGCGGGTACCACGAGGAGGTGGGGCAGACTTGGATCACTAGCACGAATCATAAACTCAACTAGATCCCTTACGAACGAGCAACTATATCCCCTTAAGAGAGTCATAGTTACTCCCGCCGTTTAACCGCAGTAGGGAGAATAGGTCGGTTCTAACCCGCTTTTTCCACGGGTGCGAGAGAGAGGTCTCGTAGAGCGAGAGAGATAGAAAGATATCTGAAGGACAGGATGACGGCGGCGCGGGTGAGCAGGGGGGGTAGGTAGGGCGAGGGGAGCCGCTCGCCGTCGAGTAGGTAAACGGAGGGTCGTAACGTCACGCGGAGGGGAGGGTGAGGGGGCGGCGGGGCGAGGGGGAGCGGTCGGGGGGGTTCGGTGCGAGAGCAAGGGAGAGGGCGAGAGGGAGAGAGAGCGCACGTCTCTGGTTACGGCGCGCACGCGTCCCTGGATACGACGCGTCGGAGCGTCTCTGGATGCGGCGCGCTAGGCGCGCGCGATAAGCGGCGATCGCCCCGTCGAGTGCGTCGCGCGCGAGACGGAGATAGAGTCGCCGTTGATAGTAGAGCGGACGCATTCGATGTAGGCCTGGAAGAGATGTGATGTAAAATATGCGATTCGCGCGACGCGCGATTTATATTTATATAATATTTAAATAATATTAATGTAATATTTATATAATATATATGCGCCTCCACAGACTCGCGTCGTTTCAACGCGCCGAGGAAGGAGCGACAAGCGGCCTCGGGCGTTTCCATCGCGTTTTACGCGTCGCTCGGATGTAAATCCGAATATTTTTTCTTTCCGTTTGTAAAAAGCCGCGCGACGTCGGACGCGAGTTCGCCACGTGCGAGCGCGCCGCTCGAATTTTAACCTAAATGTGCGCGCGTTTCGTAAACGAGCGTACGATGTATCGGGAGAACACGTCGCGGCTAGAGGCGTCTCTCTCTCATCGACGGAGGTCGTCGATCCTTCGTTCTCGAGGATCGACGAAGAGCGCGTCGATAGGACGAGTACCTCGTCGCGCGTGCGATATCGCGGTCGTCGCGCGCGCGTGTTCTCGGACTCGTCGCTCTCTCCTTTTAAGCGCGATAACGGGAGAGGAGCGGGATTCCGTTAGGATTTACTTGCGTGCACGAGGGATATTCGCGGCGACGTTTCCGTCGCCGTTCCTTCCTCTCGAGCGCGTCGCGCTAAGACGAGAGGGATATTCGCGGCGACGCTTCCGTCGTTCCTTTCTCTCGGACGCGCAGCGGCGAGAGACGCGCGCGATAACGCGCGCCGAATCCGGTCGAATGCGGTATTTCGACGGATTCGTCGTTTCCTAAGGCGAAAACCGCGCGACCGCGGAGAAATTTTTTCCCGCTCGCGCGACGTCGTCGTCGTCGCTCGAACGAGGGAGTATAAAGACGTGTCGGTCGTTTCGAGGCGCGCATACGCCTCGCGGATGGTCGCGATCGGTCTATCCGATCGTTTCTCGGGAAGATAAGTTCGCGAACGAAGTGTTTCGAGGTGCGCGTATGAGCGGCGCTAGTTCTGTCAGAGTCGCCTCTACCGTCGACGGTAGGGCGACGGATAAGGAAGAGGAGTTGACGCGCCCGATAGGCAACGACGACGTCGAGTTGAAGGAGAGCGTGCGATGGAACGTCGCGACGTATCATCTGAGAAGAGCCGTTCAAACGCACAGTCGGCGCGAGGAGTTGTGGGTCGAGATGGCTCTGGCCAACAGTCGCAGAGCCTATTCTTACAACTATGATCTAGACAGGTGGTTTAGAGCGAAGTATCCGAAGGGTTGTCAGGATCCGAAGGGTTATATGTGTGCCGGCCAGTGGAAATACCACTCGTTCGATTATCCCCAACCGGAAGAATGATATTTATGGCCAGTCGCGCGCTGCAGGATTCTCCCGCCCGAGGATAACGCGGGTAGAATTCTGCGATACACCTATGATCGCGACGACAGCGGTCGCAAGTACCCGTTCCGCCGAAATATGTTTTGCGGCGTCGATTTGATATGCTTGAAGCGCGAGTTGTCATGAGCGAGGAGCGCGTCGATCCGCCGATCGATCGCTACGTCCGAGTGTTGAAGGAGAGGATCGCGTCGGGACTTATTCGACGAGGCGGACGATCGGTCTTCGGGACGCGCGCGAGGAGCTGTGGATCGAGACGATCCTGGTGTGTAGCAGAAGAGCGGCGAGATTCGACACCGGAGATACGCGGGTGACCGGGACGCGTCGCGGGTTTTCGCTGCCGGTAGATTCGCGAAGCGAAACACTGGATGAGGCCCCGTGAGGAGGAGAGAGGACGACGAATGGCCGTAGGGAGAGAAGAGGACGCGACCATGCAGGAGGAAGAGCGCCGGATGCTCGAGAGCGCGCGCGACGTCGCCACGACGGACGACTATCGCGCGTGGACGCGACGATGCGAGGAGTGTCTCGCGACTCTGCGCGAGAGGTGCCTAGACGCGAGTCGCCGAATCTCTACGGGGGCGAGGACCTCTCTGGTCGCCCGAATCCTGCGAGTGATCGGCGCGAGGAACGATCTACGGCGACGCTTCGTGCGCGAGGGCGCGGATGTCGCGAGACGCGAGGACGACGGCGGCAGCGGCGGTAGCGGGATTGAGTCGCGCGAGGGATTCTCGTGGTCCAAGGTCGAGACGGCTTTCAAGAGACGCGCGTTGACGGCGCTGTGATAAATCTCGATTACATCGAACCTCTGAGATTTCTCGAGGACGCGAGGGACACCGTGCTCCGCCGCGTGCGCGACGTCATGGGCCGATATGGCGGCGTTAAGGTGAACACGACGTTCAACGGAGAATTCGTGTCGGGCGATAAAACCGCCGTTAAGACGATCGCCACGAGAAACCATCCCCTTCTATCCACGACGGATCTGCGCGAGTGGTACGATACTTGCTTCGTCGGCGATACCGTCGCGTCTTTGGAGGAGTTTCAAGAGTGCGATAGCGGATGGGCTCTATCGCGCATACTCGATCTAACGGTGAATGTGAACGTGTACAATCCCATGCGGGCGGTGTGCCACGTGCGAGTACCGCGAGAGATTCAGATGAAGAGAGCGGTGGTCAACGTGCGATCCGACGACGAGGCGTGTTTTGCGTGGTCGGTGATAGCCGCTCTGTATCCCGTCGATAAGCACGGCGAGAGAAGCTCGCGATATCCGCATTACTCCGAGGTGTTGAATCTGGAGGGCTCGAAGTTACCTATGACTCTGAACGGAATCGGACGGTTCGAGCGTCTGAACGATATATCGGTGAACGTATACACCGTCGGAGAGAGACGACGCGGGAAGGACGATGGTGGAATTCGCATCGTGCCTCTTAGTCTGACGAATCGAAAGAGGGAGAGACACGTCAATTTGCTGTATCTGAGCGATGCGACGCGCGAGGGTAACGCGGTCGAGCATTTCGCCTGTATCCGAAATCTGTCTCCTCTGATCAGCTCGCACTTGACCAAGCGACAGCACAGAACGCACGTGTGCGATCGGTGAGCGTTCCATCTCGGCGAGCGAGAGCGAAATATCGAGCTAACGTTTATTCCGTATTTTCTCAGATGCATGCATTACTTTCGCACGAGCGAGAAGCTATCGGCGCACAGCGAGGATTGCGGCAAGCTGAACGATTGCGCGGTCGTTTTTCCCGGCGAGGACGACAGGTGGCTGGAGTTCGATCATCATTCGAGAAAGGAGCGAATTCCGTTCGCGATGTACGCCGATCTGGAGTGCGCGTTGGAGAGGAAGGAGGGGAACGAGGGCGGGAGAACCAAGAATACGAGGATCGTTCAGCATCACAGAGTTTACAGCGTGGCCTATTACGCGCATTGCTCCTTCGACGACGCCGCGTCGACGTACGGATCTTATCGCGGCGAGGATTGCGTCGCGTGGTTCGTCGAAAGTCGCCCTCGACGCCGTGGTACCGATGGCGGATCTGACACCGGACAAGCGGGAGATATTCGCGAGCGCGTCGCGCTGTTACGCGTGCGAGAGACCGTTCGAGGCCAACGACGCTCGAGTGCGCGATCACTGTCACTTGACCGGCCGTTTCAGAGGTCCGGCGCATTCCGCGTGTAATTTGAATTACAAGGACCCCTACGTCATACCCGTATTCTTTCACAATCTATAGGGTTATGACGCGCACTTCATTATCAAGGATGTGGCTAACGCGTATCCCGGCAGCGTCGAGCTGTTGCCGGTGAAGGAATCGTACATAGCTTTCTCGAAGACCGTTCGAGATAGTGCGGCGGCGGCGGCGGAGGGAGACGGGGGAAACGCCGCGCGTTCCAGATACGTTAAATTAGGATTCATGGACTCGTTCAAGTTTTTAGGCGCCGGTCTCGATAAGCTGGCGTCTTATCTCGACGAGCGCAAACTGACGATCGCGCGAGGCGAGTTTCGCGACCTCTCGGACGACGACTTTCGGCTTCTCACGCGCAAGGGCGTGTTTCCGTACGAGTACGTCGACAGCGTCGAGAGATTGCGGGAGACGCGTCTCACACCGCGCGAGTCCTTCTACAGTTCTCTAACCGGCGATACCGTATCGGAGAGCTTACGCGCACGCGACGCGCGTCTGAAGCGATTTAGCGTCGAAAACCTGGGCGAGTACAACGATCTCTATCTGAAGACTGACGTTCTTCTGCTCGCGGACGTGTATCTATAAAAATACGTTCGAAAATTTTCGCGCCGCTTGTTTGGAGAGGTACGGTTTAGATCCCGCGTACTACTTCACGTTACCGGGAAACACGTGGGACGCGATGCTTAAGTACACGGGGGTCCATTTCGAGCTGCTCACCGATATCGATATGATGATGTTCGTGGAACACGGAATACGCGGCGGTCTGAGTCAGTGCTCTAACAGATACGCTCGCGCTAACAACAAGTACATGAGCGCGTACGATCCGTTGCGACCGTCGATCTATCTGATGTATCTCGATATCAACAATCTGTATGGTTGGGCGATGTGTCAGCCGTACGAGCGATTCGAGTGGGTCAACGATCTCGAGAGTCTCGACGTGATGTCCGTGACGGAGGACTCGACCGTCGGCTACATTCTCAAGGTCGATCTCGACTATCCGGCCGACGCGCACGACGCCCACGCCGATCTACCGTTTTGCCCCACGTGCGATAAGCCGCCGGGGAAGCGTCAGAGCAAACTCCTAGCCACGCTGTACGATAAGCGTCTGACGAGGATTCATCGCGCGCTGCGCTTCTCGCAGTCGCCGTGGTTACGCGGATACGTGGAACTTAACACGCGCTTACGCAAGTAACGATTTCGAGAAGAATCTGTACAAGTTGATGAACAACGCCGTCTTCGGCAAGACTATGGAGAACGTGCGCAATCGCGTGGACGTTCGACTCGCAACTCGATGGGACGGGCGATTCGGAGCCGAGGCGATCATCTCCAAGCCGAATTTTCACAGTAGAAGCGTATTCTCGGAGAATCTCATGGCCGTGGAATTGCGTAAATTGGAGACGAAGATCGACGTAGGCATGTCCATTCTCGATATATCCAAGATTCATCTATACGCGTTTCACTACGAATACATGTCACCGCTCTACGGCGATAAGTGTAAAATATTGTACACCGACACGGACAGTTTCATTTATAGCATAGAGTGCGAGGATGCGTACGAGCGAATGAAGCGCGACATCGTTAGATTCGATACGAGCGATTACGCCATCGACAATCCCTACGGCGTGCCGCGCGCGAATAAGAAGGTTCTCGGTCTGATGAAGGACGAGAACAACGGCGCTCTCATGCTCGAGTTCGTCGGACTCAGAGCGAAGATGTACGCGTTGCGAGTCGAGGGTAGGGGCGACACTAAGAAGAGCAAGGGTGTGAGGAGCAGCGTCGTCGCGAGAACGCTGACGTTCGACGATTACGAGCGCTGTCTAAGACGCGAGATCGAGATGACCCGCGAGCAGTCGTGCCTGAGATCCAAGTTACACGAGGTGTACACCGTGCGCGAATCGAAGGTCGCGCTCAGTTCGTAGGACGATAAGCGCTACGTCGTGCCGGATTCGACCGACACTACCGTGGGGGCACTATAGGATACCTCTGTGAGGAGAGGCGCGGATAGATCTTAAGCGCGATGCGACGTATTTTTATAGATATGCGTGATGTATTTTATAGATTTGCGTAATGTATTTTATTGTCTTTAATGTTATACAATATATATATGTTCGTTGCGACGCGTTGTATAATACGCGCGATGTATTTTCTTATCTTTAATATTACAAATATATACAGGGTGGGGAAAAAGTATGGAAGCAAACAATTATTTCCGAAACTATTTGTTCAAAACTCATAATCGGCATTTCGATAATCAAATTTGCGTGACTAAAATCAATTAATAAAATCATTTTATTAAATTCAAAGTTTCAAAATTAACGGGCGTCAAAGAAACTTCTCGAAACGTCTGTTTTCTACAAAAACTCAATCGGTCGATTTAGTTTCTATTTTTTTAATGACCAAGAAACACTCATCATGTTCGTTGACAACAACATTGTCAACCGTCGACAAAATCAGAGCAACATATGGGCATGCGCGCCCATACGTCACGATCAGCTGATCGCCAATCAGCTGATCAAAAAAGATCGTGCGCATGGCAAATGTAAAAATTTCAATTCATGACCTCATCGGCGGCCAATAATGCGCGGCGCCCTGAGGTCACCGCTAAAATACGAAAATTATTGGCCCACGTTGCAACGGGCCCAAAAATTCTGCCTGCTATATAAAGAGCACCGCACGTGGGCACGAGGAAGTCTTGCGCTTTTCTAAGACGTGCTCTTTTAAACTTTTCGCTTTGCTACACCGCTATATCACACCGCTTATAACGACCGCTATTCTCTTGGACTTCGATTATCCGCACGTTTCCAACGATCAACTCACTTCACCGCTCGCGATATCTCGCATGATAACTGTGTCGCTTTTGTACCGCGCGCTTACTGTGAATCGCAATCACCGAACACTTGTCACCTTTATTCTTTGACATTAATAAAGTCTCGTCCTTTTGTTAACCGAAGGCAAATATCTTTTTACTGATGATCTTCCACTTTCCTCAATTCACTGCCGGACTCGCTTGCGAACACTATTCATTTTTCGACAAAATGTCTTAGACATAATTTTTATGGTATGAAAAGATGTATTATGTGGCATAGACGGCATGACCTTGAAATGACCATTACGAGCTGCATACAAATAACGTAAAAAATTTCAAATGGAACTCGTCAGTTTTTGTTACAGATTCTTGTAGCTGATGTCGAAACGTTTACAAAACACTGCATATGAGCCCCATTCCCTTAAAAATACTCCCAGTTACGAAACAATTGTGATACAAACAATTTGTATGCACATTGACATTGCTTACTGATTTCGCATCATGACGTTCAGTTGCGTCCACTAATAACATGTAATTGTACCTGTTGTCATATGACAACAACAAAAACTGACGAGTTCCATTTGAAATTTTTTACGTTATTTATATGCAGCTCGTAAGGGTCATTTTAAGGTCATGCCGTCTATGCCACATAATATATCTTTTCATACCATAAAAATTATGTCTAAGACATTTTGTCGAAAAATGAATAGTTTCGGAAATAATTGTTTGCTTCCATACTTTTTCCCCACCCTGTATATTCATTGCGACGCGTTACAATACGCGTGATGTATCTTTTTATCTGTAATATCACGCGAAAATATACGTATATTCGTCACAATATGTCGGTTTTGTCGATCCACGAATTATGCGATCTGTCCATTCCCAGCCACTGCGCTTCACGAGAACAGCGTCGCCCTTTCGGCGCAGCACTCTCTCTATGCACGTCGGGATCGGAGACTCGCTGCAACTCGTGCTCGTAGAATCCGCCGACTATCGGCTCGCCGCGCGAATCCTTCAACAGATACGTCGCGGGATTCGTCCTTCGCACCTCGGCTACGCGGAAGAACTCCGCGGTCCAATTCGGCGTGTATCCCTTCTCGAACAGCGTCTTGTACTTGCTCACGTGCACGGGATCGTTCGGTCGAAATTTTCACGGAGCGGCGATCTGCGGGTGGCTGTACACCGACGGTGCAGTCGACAGGAGTCTCGACGCTCGAGCGGGCGTCACGTCGATCGGACGCATCCCGATGGTTCGATGCTTGCGAGCGTTGTACTCGGATATTAGACGCGGCAGCGCGTCGAGCCACTTGTACGTTCCGTTCAGCGTGAAATACTTCCACATCGAGTTCTTGAGCGTGCGATTGAAACGCTCGACGATGGACGCTTTCAGCACCGAATACGTCGAGTAGTGATTGATTCCGTGTCTATCTACTAATCTTCGCACCTCGGCGTTGTAGAACTCCTTTCCTTTTTCAGTCTGCAGATTCCTCGGGCGACGTCCGGAGACGCGCGTCACGCTCGACCGGGCTCGAGCGACCTCGTCGCCGTTCTTTCTCTTGAGCGGTACCGCCCGTACTTGCTCAGAGCGTCGATGACGGTGAGTATGTAATTGTGGCCTCTGTTCCGTCCAGCATAAGGACGCATCTTGACGACGTCCGCTTGCCACAGATCATCGTATCCGCGCACCGCGACGCGGCGGCGGGGGAAGTTCTTTCTCGCTGGCGCGTGCAGCTCGTTCACGAGTCTCCGTTTCGCGGCGCTCATCTCGTCGTCTCTTTTTTTTCTACCCTCTCTTCGACTGTTGCTTCTCAGGAGTTTTAGCGCCCAGTTGTATGACCACCTTATTCGGATCGATCGTCTTAGGAATCGCAACCGCCGCCGCCGCCGCCTTCGCCGCCGCCGCCGCCTTCGCCGCTGCCTTCGTCGCCGTCGTCGTCGTCGCGGCCGTTCTCCTCGCGAGTTCGTTCGGGTCTTTCCTCAGACGCGTCACCTCGGCGTCCAGTTCTCGCAATTTCGCGTTGGAAGTCAGCGCCTTCGCCGTCAACTCCTGCAACGTTCTGTCGTGACCGCTCAATGCGGCTCGATTTCTCTCGTTGTTCGCCGCTACGTTGTTCACATGCGACAGAGATCTCTCCAAGGCGCGCACTCGCTTCTCCGTTTTCTCGTCGATCTTCTTGAGCCGCGACGGAGGTCCCCAGTTCGCGCAATAGTTTGTTTGACGCGTCCCCGTTCGCCCGATTCGTCTCGACGGAGCTCTCCAAATCGCCCAGTCGCTTGTCGGCGACCGCGCGCGAGGCCGATCTCATCGCCTCGACGGTCTCGATCCTCGTCGCTGCGAGCTCCTGCAGATTCTCCAGCGTTTGCAGCCGATTCTCGAGAGCGCTCCCCCTCGCGCGAATCTGCGTAACGTCGGTTTCCAGAGCGCTCAATCTTTCGGTCGCGGCGCTCTCGAGAGCGTCGATCTTCTTGCTCAGAGCGACGATTTTCTTCGCCGACGAGGCCGCGTTGTTATCCACTCGCGTTCTCACGCTCGCGATAAGCTGGTAATTATTCGCCGCGTTCGCTCTCACCGCGTATATAGCGCTTTCGACGTAACTCTTGTTCGTCGCGGCGTCGTTGTTGGTCGGCCAGGCCACTCCTCGTATCTTGAGACGCTGCGCGTCGTAATACGACGCGGAGGGAGAGACGTCGGAGACGGTCAGGCACAGCGCGTTATCGCGCACGTAATTTCGCAGAGATTCCACGCTCGCGCGCAATCTAGCGCTCGTCGCGTCGCGACCGCGTCTTCTCCGCGTCGACACTCCGAACTTGCTCGCGAACATCGCGTCGTTGAATGAGGCGCGCGCGCGATCGTCTCACAGTATCTCGCCCGCCTCGCGGAGCTCCTCGATTATCGACAGGATCTCGTTGTCGTGAGCGTTGCTGCCGGCTTGACGAGAAGCGTCCAGCAATCGGAGACGATCCACCAATTCGTTCGGATCGTCCCAGTGAACGTAGTCCACGGTGTCGCGGGTCGCGCGCATAGCCCGCGGCACGCGACCCCCACCGATTCTCTTCCTCGGACTGTCCGTCCACAGGATCGGAGCTATGACGTGCTTATACTTGTATCCCTTGTTTCCTAGTACGGGCATGCGAAAGTAGGTCGGTTCTAACTCACTTTTTGCACGGGTGCGAGAGAGAGGTCTCGTAGAGCAAGAGAGATAGAATGATATCCGAGGGGCAGGGTGACGGCGGCGGGGGCGAGCAGGGCGGGTAGGTAGGGCGAAGGGAGCCGCTCGCCGTCGGGTGGGTAAACGGAGGGTCGTGACGTCACGCGGAGGGGGAGGGCGAGGGGGAGCGGACGGAGGGTCGTGACGTTACGCGGAGGGGGAGGGGGAGCGGGCGCGAGAGCGAGGGAGAGGGCGAGAGAGAGCGAGGGAGAGGGAGAGAGAGCGCGCGCGCGTCCCTGGTTACGGCACGCGCGTCCCTGGATATGGCGCGTCGGAGCGTCTCTGGACGCGGCGCGCTAGGCGCGCGCGATAAGCGGCGATCGCTCCGTTGGGCGCGAGACAGAGATAAGGTCGCCGTCGACGGCAGAACGGATGTATTCGACGCAGGCCTGGAAGAGATATGATGTACGATTTATATAACGTACGATTTTATATAACATATTATTTTATACGATGTATAATGTACGATGTATATTAGATTTATTTTGAGGAGGAGGAGGGAATTCGTCGCGAATCGAGGAGAGACGAGGGTGATGTAAATCGAGGAGAGAGAGAGAATAAATTACGTGTAAAATTTATTTATTTATTTATTTATTTATTTATTTATTTATTATGTCACGAAGTTACATGCGTAGATACATATGTACACCGAGAATAATATCGGTACTCGGGATCGTTTCGCCTCGTTCGAGCGCAGTTATACGGGCAAGCATACGGTTCGAGATCGCGATACATTCATTCGTCGCGCGTAGCGTTTTTTTACAAATTGTGATAGAATCCGAATAGCAGAGCGTGCAACTCGCAGTCGATCAGATCGTTCGCGTGGAAGTGCTCGTGCCGACGAATAGCTTCCGGAATATCGCCGGGGTGGTCGGTCTCCGTCGTGATATCCAGAAAACGCGACAACTTGGCGTCTACGGTCTCGAGTACGTCGGTCAACGACGCGACGATGCGATTGACGCACAGCTCGAGAACGAACAGCGCCTTCACGGTGGATTGCGACAGAGCGATGCAATTCTTCGGCGTCTCGAATAGCAGCGTCTTCAGATTGTTTATCTTGCCGAATCGAAGCGTCACGGTTCCGACGATTATGGACGTCGGAGGGCGCGCAACAGCCTCGTCCAAATCGTTCTCGAAATACGGCAGTATATCGTTGCGCAGAGCGAGCAGATCCTTCCACATGTCGGGCGTCAGAGATATCTCTTTTCCATGGCAGTCTCCTAGGATGATGTCGACTTGAGATTCGCGCTTCACGGCTACGGCGATGTCGATATATTTGTACGCCGTCTTGGTCAGAGGATATCGTCTTCCTAGTATTCGAATCGGATGTCTCGCGAAATTGATCTCGTGTTTGAACATCCAGTTTCTATTCCATCTGTCGAGATCGGAAAGAAAAAAAAAGACGACGTTATTATATGAAAATAGCCAATCGAGACGGAGATCGAGAGCGCTCGGGCGAGGTAACTCGCGAAGCGTCGCGCGTACTCACTCGTCCTCGGTGTACAGTCGAGCTTTCTTGATCACGGGCGGAGTGTCCGAACGATCGCGGGTGGTATCCTTGGCAGAAGCCGCGTAATCGTCTCGACGGTTAGGCGGAGCGACAAAGGGGCCCGTCATTGGCGGCGCTGACGGAGTCGCGGGCGTCGCGGACGAGTCCCTGAATACTCTGCGATACTCCTGTCCGAGTCCGGCGAACATGATCGGTTTCGCGAACAGGGCTTCGATGTTCGTAGGAAAACACTGCGGTGGCGACGGCGTCGTTAACGTTGGTCGTCGCGAGGAGAGAGAGAGAGAGATTCGTCGGAGACGCCCGCTTAGAATCGTACGTGTGTTAATCGCGAATATCGTCGGAAATGTCGCGCAATGATCAAAACGCGCCTTATATACGACGCGATCTCGATCGTCGTCTCTATATTTTTATTCTCGACGCGCGCGTTATGCGCGTTAATTAATGCAGCGGAAGCGGTTTAGAACAGCGGTTTAGAACAGCATATTAAATGTAATCTTAACGTTAGGTTTCAGAATTTCCTGATCTTAGTCGTCATCGTCGTCGTCGTTGCGCGGTCTTTCGAAGGACGCGTATTCCAGACGATACAGCTTGGAGACGAGTTCGTTCAATCGATGCAGAATGCCATCGGCTGGGCATTCTATTCCCAGTATGCTAAGATCGAAGGGACCAGCCGAGATTATCGCGTCGAGGAACTCGCTGTACGCGTAATACTCGCGTTTCTTCAGAAAATAGAGATTACCGTCGACGTGGCGGAAGGCGGCCGTTATCGTGGGTGGTATCCCGGAAAACGTATCCCGCAGAGCGCCGTGCCTCGCGACGATCATCGCGCAGTCGTTTATCTCGGCTATTTTATCGTCGTTGTATATGACGTAGCTGCGCCCGGCGTGCGTGTTTATCGCGGCGTTTATCCTAGCGTCGCGGGGAAATTCGACGTATTCGACGGATCTAGGCCATCCCGCTTTAAGATGAAAATTCGAATCGGCGAGGTAGACGTAGTCGCCGGCGAATATCGCGATATCACCCGACGGTCTCCGATACGCGAGTGAGATTGCGGGGGAGGAAATTGAAGTAGTCGGCGAACGAGAAGGGCGCTTCGTAGCGTCTCTCCCTCATATCGACGGGCCACTCGTTGCGTTTACGCGCGACGTACAGGCGACGATTCATGATTAGCGCTCCGTCTACGCGCTTCAAGGCGCATAGATCCGCAGTATCGGAGGGAGCGAGCGGCGGCTCGACCGTTCTCACGGTCGTCAGCGGAGCCGTGGCCGTCGTCGTCGTCGTCGAGGCCGTCGTCGTCGTCGTGATCGTCGCCGCGGTCGTAGAAGTAGCGTCGACGATCGTAGGAGTCGTCGTCTCTCTCGATCCGTAGAGATTTCGCACGTTTACGACGTCCTCTACGCTAAGCCTGAGCGGATATCGCCTTTCTTCCGAAGGCGTGTACGCGTACATGACCGAGTCATCCCTCATACTGTGAGTCAGATCCAGAGTGTGATCGATCTCGCGCGTCAGCGTCTGAAGGAGATACAGCCTGTCCGACGAGGGCGTAAGTCGTAGGACGTGGTCAGCGTAATGTGCCACGGCTCCGTTTCGTCGACGTGCACCTCGGTCACTTGATCGGGCTCTCCCGTCGGAAAGAACACGTGAGCGACGACCGATCCCGGTCCCGCGAACGGCGACGGGCACGAGCCCCCGTTGTCGCTGTTCTCGTACGCGTGAGCGCCGTATTGATAGGATATCAGTATATCGGGGCGCAGCGAGTCGCGCGAGAACGTCAGAGCGGATTGCTCGGACCACAGAGCGAACGTGCTATGAGTCGTGCGCAGAGTATCTCTGTTCGCTAGTTTGAAGTTCCACGTGAGATGCGTCCTCGGCCACTTTCTCGTCAACGGGCTGTAGGCGCGAATGTCCGCGACGCCGCATCGCGGCCTGCGCATGACGCGAATCGTTTTCACGGTCAGAATGCCGTTTCCCGCCAGACCGTAGTATTCCTGAAACAATGATAGCGCTTCGCTCAGGACGGTCGCGTTGTCGACGACTGCTGATGATTCTCCTCGTTCTCCAGAAAGCCGTAGGTTCGAAGATAACGGGATGCCTCCGCGACGTCATCGTAGGTCAGCGTCGCCGCGACGGCCGCGAGCAGTGATATCGTCAGCGCGAGCGATAACGCGACGCGCGTCATGGCTCTCGCGAGGCGCGCGGGGGTCGGGACGGTAGCGAACTATCTCGCGCGCGCGCGCATCCTTCGGCGATACGTCGTTCTCTAGAACGCGTCGTACGAGGGAGAAGGAGGAAGCGAGGGGAGGGGAGGGTAGATACGCTCGGACGCGCGAGAAGGATGATCGAGACAACGAACTTTTTTTTTTTAAAGAAACAAACGATTCATTATTCATATGAAAAATAGGAGGGGGAGGAAAGATACTCTAGGACGCGCTAGAGAGGTGATCGAAAAGAAATGATTCTTTATTCGTACAAAAATGATTTTTTTTATTCGTATAAAAAATGATTCTTCATTCGTATAAAAAAATGTGCGCGATCTACGTTTACTTATATAACGCGTTTAATGTATAATATTCTAATGGGCATAAAATCAAACCACTTGACGCGATATCGAAGCACACGTTACGCGCGTGTTAGTCTCACGATACTTATCGGAGGACAAGGAGGAAGTGAATGAGGTGAATGTAGCGTGGAGCGTATCGCTTTACGAGTAAGAGGTGTTTATATGAATACCGACAAGGTTATAATGCTTAATATAACGCTTAATATAATGCTTAATATAACGTTTAATATAACGCTTAATATGACGCTTAATATGACGCTTAATATAACGCTTAATATAATATTTTAATATATATATAACGCTTAACATAATGTTCTAATATATTATAATATTCTAATATAATGTTCGAAAGGACGCGGGGTCTTCGAGTCCTCCTCCCTGTTTGCTCTCGAAAATCGCGCGACTATCGACGATGGATGCGATATGGCGATTACAATATACAATTATTAAACATATGCGATTAAAATATACGACTATTGAATATATACGATTAAAATATATGACTATTATATATATATGAACGACCTGTGAGAACGACCAAGAACGACCTGTGAACCGATACGGAATGCAAAGAGCTACTTCTTAATGCTCTCGGGGACGACGAGTATCAGCAATTACTCAATCGTTTGTCGCCAAGAACGACCTATGAGAACGACCTAAGAACGACCTGTGAGAACGACCTAAGAACGACCTGTGATCATATATGTTATATAAATGATATATTATATTTCTTCTAGACTTACAACGACCTGTGAGAACGACTGTAAAGTATCTAAAATAAACGGTCTTACAAAAACATGCGCGTTTAAACTGGAAAATTTATCGTAAGAACGACCCATGTCAAACGACCATTTAAAAAAGGAGCGGCAAAACAAGACTTATCATCTAATTTATGGATTTGCAAATTGTCGATACTTTTAGATGTCGAAATATATGTGCTTAAACAGACGCGTTCTTCAATTGACATTACTAAAATGTTATTAAAAGTTCGTCACTCCGCTACCTGGGAAACTACTTATGAATAGCCCACAAATAACCTATAAATGAATCATAAATGGGTTCATTTATAAATGAACCGTAAGTGAACCATAAGCGAACCATAAGCGAACCATAAACGAACCATAAGCGAACCATAAGTGAACCATAAGTGAACCATAAGCTAACTATAAATCAACCGTAAATGACCTACGAATCAACCATAAATGACCCATAAATACCTCTGTAAAAGGGAGTATATGAATATGGACAAGACTATAGAGAGACCGTAAAAGACCTGCGAATCAATCATAAATACCCCTGTAAAAGAGAGTATATGAATATGGAGATGAATATAGAGGAGGATCGTGCAAGAGTGCGCCGACACGTACATATCTTCTACGACGACGACGACGACGACGACGAATCCCTCTTAGAAATGCGGCGCGCCCGATCGGCGAAACGAGCTCAGTTCGCGCGAGCAACGATGAGTTTTGACGCGCGCAAGGGGAAGGGGGGGCGATGCGGGCGGAGATCGGGAGGAAGGGAAGACGCTGTTCTTCGACGTCGTCCTTCGGCGCCGTTCTTCGACTCCATCCTTCGACGCCGAGATTGACGAGACGTCTGAAATATGTAAAGCCGTGTATTAATAATACGTATCGAGAGACGCGAAAGGAAAGAACGGCGCGTTATACGAGAAGAGATCCGTACCTCGGTTCAAATCCTCCGTCGTCCGTACGGACGGAGCTCGTTTCCTCGAGCGAGCTCGCTTCCTCGAGCGAGCTCGCGTCATAGTATCATATCTCCATAGGAGAATCGTCGTCGCAGAAATCTTCAGTTTTAAACGCGCGATCCGAGACGAGCGGCTTCATGCCGAATAACCTTCTTAGTCGAAAGATGTCGGCGTAGATATTAGGGGAGCGCCTCTCCCATTTTCTATAGGACGGCCGGTCGCACCATAAGGAGTTTAAGAATCGCCGTTGCTTCAGTCTCGCCTGTCGTATCCAATGTCGGCGGCGTATGTTGACGAATCCACGGATCTCAACCTCATTCTCGAACTATGAAAAAAATGTCGCGCGATCAATGTACGTCGTATTTTTCCTCGAAGGAGAGCGAAAGAATAAAGAAGGATGACGAATGAGTACTTACGTTCCACGTTACAGCTATATTGAGGATCGCATCCATGAGATTTCTGATGTACTTTGTTCGAAATGCGTAATCGATTATCTCAATGTAAAATTTCGCGTTGCTAAAATCCGATTAGCTGATGGCCAATCAGCTGATCGAAAAAGGTCGTGCGCATGGCAAACGCCACAACACTATTTCCTGACCTCATCGGCGGCCAATCATGCGTGGCGCCATGAGGTCACCGCCAAATTTCAAAGTTAATTGGGCCACGTCGCAACGGGGCCCAAAATCCGCCCGGTATATAATGAGCCCAGCGAGAGGGCACGCGGAAGTCTCGCACTTTTCGCTTACTACGCCGCTTAATCTTACCGCTCAGTCAAACCGCAAATATTGTACGACAACCGCTATTCTTCTCGGACTTTGATTTTCCGCACGCACGATCTGTCACGCCGCTCGCGATCTCCCGCGAGTTTAACCGCTTCGCTTGTCGCACCGCTCGTTGCACTGTACACTTGTCACGGTCATCGTTGAACTCTAATAAACTTTTTATTGTTTGTGTGAATATCACGAGCTTCACTGCACTGGCCTATCCTCCACGTTCGCGCTATCTCTTGCCGGATCCGCTCGCGAACATTTCTGGTCCTTCGAGCTGGATTTTCCATCATCCGCGTCCGCTGTTTCGTGATTGATCCTCTCGTGCAGTTTGTGGAGTGAAGTGACCTCTGAAAAGACAAAAGAGATATTAGACATGAGTGCTGAAGTGAAGGTGCTGCTGGAAGCGCAGCACGACATTCATGGTCGGATCTCCCGCGCCGTGGACAATCTGAGGAAGATGGGCGTGAGCAACATCACCCGCGAAGCCATCCAAGCTCGCCTCGGCATCCTGGACAATCTCTGGCAAAAAATGGAGACCCAGCATGAGCTCATTCGTGCGGCGCTGAAGGACAAGTATCAGGAGAGTGAGTACGCTGTATCTGATTTTATTGAAGTCGCGGAGAATACTTACGTGACATAACGTAGCACGCTGACCAGCTACGCTGAGAAGCTTAAGGGCGAGACGCCCGCCGCGCTCCGAGGCGAGCCGGACCACGATCGGGCTCCTAAAACCTCCTTGCCGCGCATCAAGCTTCCGACGTTTGCGGGATCTTACGAAGAATGGCCGTCATTCCGCGACCTCTTCCAATCAGTCATCGGGGCGAATGAATCCGTCTCCGACATCGAGCGATTTCACTACCTCCGGTCTTGTGTCAAGGGAGCCGCTGAAAAATTGATAAAATCATTAACGGTGACCGGTGATAATTACCATCGCGCTTGGACGCTTTTGTGCAAGCACTTCGAGAACAAGAGGGAGCTTATCCGTTCTAATTTCGCCGCGTTCACCTCCGTTCCCAAAATGAAGTGCGAGTCAGCGGGAGAACTCGGTCGCATTCACAACGCCGTAACGACCGCGGTGAACGCGCAGGAGAGTATAGGGAGACCCATCAACTCCCACGGTATGGATCTCCTCAATTTTCTCACCGTCGAATTGTTCGATTCGCGTACACGGATGGAATGGGAGTCCTCGACCTGCGACTCCACTGATCCGCCAGACCACGGCGCTCTCGTCAACTTCATCGCTAAGCGCATTCTCACGCTAAACGCCGCTAGGCCACGAGTATCGCAACCAAACTCCGATGGCGCGTCGCGAACCGCGAAAGCTCACCACACGAAGACCGGATCCGATCACTTGAAGTGCGCACTGTGCCAGGGGAAGCACACCCTCATGCAGTGTAACGACTTCAAGGCGAAGTCCGCGATAGACCGAAAGTCCTTTGTAGAGCAAGGTAGACTGTGCTACAACTGTCTCGGGAACCACATGATCTCCAAGTGCCAGTCTGTGAAGACCTGTCTGACGTGCAAGGGCAAGCACCACACTACACTGCACGACGCGTACACATCGCCCTCCTCCAACGAGTGAACGCCCTGTCTGCGATGCACTCCTCGTCTGAGCGTAAAGCGATCTTCCTCGCGACAGCTCACGTGCACCTCACTGACCGCGCCGGGGATCTTCATCCGGTCCGAGCGATGCTCGATCAAGGATCCGAGGTGTCGATCATCTCCGAAGCACTGGTCCAACGGCTGAGACTTCCCCGCTCCCGCTCCTCAGTGTCCATAATCGGCATCGGCGAATCACGATCCGGGTCAACCCGCGGGAGAGTGGCACTCAGTCTCTCCTCGATGATCACCGGAGCCAAACTCAAGGCCATCGCCTTCGTGTTACCGCGCCTGTCGGCCTATCAGGGTTCTTCGGTGAAGAACCTCCCCTCCTGGCCTCACGTTCATGGTCTTGAGCTCGCCGACCCCAGGTATCAGGAGCTCGATCCGGTAGAACTATTGTTGGGCGCGGAAGTCTGCTCAACCATCCTTGAGGTCGGCCTTCGCAAGGGTGGTCCTCAAGATCCCGTCGCCCAGAAAACAGCCCTGGGATGGATCCTGTCAGGGGGGTCCAGCGCAGCACCCTTCCAAGGACCCCGTAACTCCTTGCAGTGCACTGTCGACCAAGAGCTCAATCAGCTTGTGCACAGCTTTTGGGAGCAGGAAAGGGAACTCCCCTCCTCCGTTGCCCTTAGACCGGAGAATCAAGAGTGCGAGACCCTCTTCATAAGTACTCACCAGCGAATGGCGTCCGGAAGATACGTAGTACGACTCCCGTTTTCTTCCCCGCCAACGTCGCTTGGTGGAACCCGTAAACCGGCTGAAAGCCTCTTGTCAGCGATGGACCTTCGGAGCAAGAGAGATCCTGAGTTCGGCGTCCGGTATCGGGAGTTTATGCAGGAGTACGAGGACCTGAAACATATGAGTCCTGTGAATACGGTCGGTACCGCAAGATGCTACCTACCTCACCACGGAGTCCTCCGCCAGTCCAACTCCTGCAGCAAGCTCCGCGTCGTCTTCAACGGGTCGCAACGTACCGCCTCGGGGGACTCCCTCAACCGACATCTGCTGATCGGTGCCAACTTGCTGCCAGCACTAGCTGATGTCCTCCTTCGCTGGTGCCGGCACCGCTTCGTGTTCGTCACCGACATCGAGAAGATGTTCCGGCAGATACTCGTCCACCCTGAAGATCGTCGCTTCCAGCGGATACTCTGGCGTCCAAAGGCTTCCGGCAAGATCCAAGAGTACGAGCTGAACACCGTGACCTACGGGCTCGCCTGTGCTCCGTTCCTCGCTGTCCGCACTCTCCACCAATTGGCGGCCGACGAGGAGGCACGAGCCCCAAAGGGAGCAACCGCTCTGCGCCATGACTGCTACATGGACGACGTGATCACCGGGTCGGACACCTTGCAGCACGCGGTCGCTCTGCAGACGGAGCTCCGAGAGCTCTGCACGGCGGGCGGGTTTCCGCTGCGGAAATGGGCCGCCAATAGCGAGGCCATCCTTGAGGGTATTCCTCCCGATCATCGACTCAAACAGGCTCACCATTCCTGGGAGAGCGAGGTACACTCCACCTTAGGCCTGCGTTGGCATCCGGCCAGCGACGACTTCTCCTTCGCCATCCAGCCTCGAAGCACTGGCGAATTCACTAAGAGGCGAATCCTGGCGGAAACGGCACGGCTATTCGACCCCTTGGGATGGCTCGCTCCTGTGATCATCCGCGCCAAGATCTTAATCCAGTCAGCATGGTTGAAAAGGCTGGAATGGGACTCTCCGCTCCCAGCGGAGGACGCTCAGTTTTGGCAGCGCCTCCTCTCCGAGCTCCATTTGCTGGAGCGCCTCCGAATAAGGCGCTGGCTGGGTGTCATTCAACAGGATCCGACGGTCGAGATCCACGGCTTCGCCGACGCGTCTGAGCGTGGATACGCGGCCGTCGTCTACCTTCGAGTGTCCAGTACGGAAGAAACGTCCATCCACTTACTGGCCGCAAAAAGCAAGGTCGCGCCGATTAAGCCCGTGACGCTCCCACGGCTGGAACTCTGCGCTGCCTCCTTGCTGACCAATCTCGTTCACCACCTCCGGTCATCACTGGAGGTGTCGGCGCCAGTATATCTCTGGTCCGACTCCAAGGTTGTCCTCCACTGGATCAAGGGTCATGCTTCACGATGGAAAACCTACGTGGCCAATAGAGTGTCGCTGATCCAGGAGCGGCTCCCCGAAGCGCAGTGGCGACACGTCCCGGGTCAAGAGAATCCTGCCGATTGTGCTTCCAGAGGGATCGCTCCGAGGGATCTGCTGAACCACCCCCTATGGTGGGAGGGCCCCGGCTGGCTTCTCGGCGACTCGTCACTATGGCCAGCCAGCGACGAGGCATCAATGGTCAGCGTTCCTGAAACAAAAACCACGGTATTAACGGCCATCAGCAAGGTCAGACCGGAGCCTGAAATACTCCTACAGTTCTCGACACTGCATAGGCTCTTACGTGTCTCTGCTTGGTGCCTTCGTTGGCGCCGGACCGCTCGTCATCCTCCCAGCGTCGCACTGCTCTCGGACGAGCTCGGCGCCTCCCTCATTCGCTGGCTGAGAATCGTCCAAGGGATCCACTACGCCGTTGAACTAGCCGCCGTACGAGAGTCTCGCCCAGTGTCTCGCGGTAGCCACCTGGCCAGGCTGCATCCATTCATCGACGATGACGGGATCCTGCGCGTCGGCGGCCGCCTGAAACATGCAATACTCACGTACGATGAACGACATCCTATGATAGCGCCGCCCACCTCATGGCTCACCAAGCTCGTGATAGAGTCTTGCCACCGCCGGACGCTTCATGGAGGCACTCAGCTCACTTTGGGGCTCCTTCGCCTCCGCTTCTGGGTGCCGCAAGGTCGAGCCGTAATCAAGCGGACACTGCACCGGTGCGTGACATGCACCCGCTGGCGAGCCCACACTCCACGGCCCCTCATGGCCGACCTCCCTCGGGGGCGAGTCACTCCAGCACGCCCTTTCCTGAGGACAGGAGTCGATTACGCTGGCCCGATATTCCTCCGCACTTCCAAGGGGCGAGGACATCGAGCTCACAAGGCGTTCATAGCCGTGTTCGTCTGCCTCTGTTCCAGAGCCGTCCATCTTGAGGTAGTATCTGACTACTCCTCTGACGCCTTCCTCGCAGCATTCCGCAGGTTCGTTTCCCGTCGCGGACTGTGCGAGGAAATGTACTCGGACTGCGGAACTAACTTCATCGGAGCGGACAACCAACTCCGAGAATTCTTCCGCGCGTCGTCCTCCGACGGCCGTCGCATCTCTCGGGAAGTCGCCAAGGAAGGAATATCCTGGCGCTTCAATCCTCCCGCCGCGCCGCACTTCGGAGGCCTCTGGGAAGCGGCGGTGAAATCCATGAAACATCACCTGCGACGGGTGATAGGAGAGACTACGCTCACCTTCGAGGAGATGAGTACTCTTCTTTCACAAATCGAAGCATGTTTAAATTCTCGTCCATTGCAGGCTTTATCAGATGACCCCGACGACATCACCGCATTGACTCCAGGGCATCTCCTAATAGGCGCCCCTCTACTGGCGGTCCCAGAGCCTTCCCTAGCCGAACGGCCTCCGAACGCCCTATCCCGGTGGCAGCTGCTGCAACGAATGCGTGACCACTTCTGGCAGCGATGGTCTCAGGAGTATGTCCACGCCTTGGCACCTCGATCAAAATGGCTCAACTCCGAGCCCGCTCCGGAGGTCGGAACATTGTGCCTCATCCGCTCGGAGATCACCCCGCCTTCCCGATGGCCCCTCGCGCGAATACTCGCTCTGCATCCAGGAAGCGATGGCACGGTCCGCGTTGTGACTGTCCGCACCTCCACCTCGGATCTCGTTCGGCCAGTCGTAAAACTCGTCCTTTTACCGGGAGTCAAGGAGGCTCGCGCGTCCGTAGACGAATAATGCTCGGGCACTATTCTCCCCGCATTGCGTAGAGTCTTGCGCGCCTCACTACATTGTACATATTGTATATATCGTGTATATATTTTTTTTATTACAGCTGTCCGTCGTCCATCTCGCGTTCTCGCCGCGATTTCCTCATTCGCACATCACTAGTCACCCACTCACTGTACATTGTGCATCCCCGAGCGATGCACAATTGATCTCCATTAATCATTGCACTTCACATCGCACTACTTCTCATTATTTCACTGTAAATCTCACCGTATTTCACTACCGCAACTCTTAGTCTCGCGAAAGATAGAAATCAACTGAACAACACGTGTTATCGTATTGCGTCACACATTCCATTCATCGATCGCGATCCAGATACCGCCAACTGAACCGCTCGCGACATCCCCGTTTATACTCGCGAATTTCGTCACGCGCTGACGAGGCGGGCGGGATGTTCGAAATGCGTAATCGATTATCTCAATGTAAAATTTCGCGTTGCTAAAATCCGTATTTCAAATCTAACGAGCGTCGAGAACTTTCTCGAGTTTTCGTTCGGTAAACAAAAACTCGAACATTCGAGTCACCGCTCGTTTTTGTACCGCATAAAAACGCTTGAAATTGAGCGATTGACAATAACATTGTCAACCGCCGTCAAACTAAAACAACATACGGGCATGCGCGCCCATACGTCACGATCAGCTGATGGCCAATCAGCTGATCGAAAAAGGTCGTGCGCATGGCAAACGCCACAACGCTATTTCCTGACCTCATCGGCGGCCAATCATGCGTGGCGCCATGAGGTCACCGCCAAATTTCAAAGTTAATTGGGCCACGTCGCAACGGGGCCCAAAATCCGCCCGGTATATAATGAGCCCAGCGAGAGGGCACGCGGAAGTCTCGCACTTTTCGCTTACTACGCCGCTTAATCTTACCGCTCAGTCAAACCGCAAATATTGTACGACAACCGCTATTCTTCTCGGACTTTGATTTTCCGCACGCACGATCTGTCACGCCGCTCGCGATCTCCCGCGAGTTTAACCGCTTCGCTTGTCGCACCGCTCGTTGCACTGTACACTTGTCACGGTCATCGTTGAACTCTAATAAACTTTTTATTGTTTGTGTGAATATCACGAGCTTCACTGCACTGGCCTATCCTCCACGTTCGCGCTATCTCTTGCCGGATCCGCTCGCGAACATACTTTATCTTCCACAAGCACATCCACGGCGTGAACGTGCATTCGTGGAGCATCCTCCGCAATCGCGAAATTTCATCGCTGCTCATCGTCGTCGTTCGCGTGAAAAAAAATAACTCCGAGAATGAATGCTGGACACGCTAGGAACACTGGACGCACTGAGAACACTTGCGATATCAGACGCACTCAACAACGGGATTGCGACACTCATTCTGAGGAAAAAACGGTCTCTCGTCGTTAATTTATACCTGCGATATCGCTATCCCCAAGTCGTTATGATTCCGTCGAATGCTAATGCTAACGCCATAATCTAAGGCGATATAAAAAAAAAATCGCGCGACGCGGAAATATAACGAGGTAATTTAATGAGGTGCGATAAATTCTCGATTGCTCCGGAGGAAGTGCCGGAAAATACATTTAACCGCGTACGCGCGATACGAGTTAGCGTTTATTCGCTAATTAATATTATTTTAATATTATTTTAATATTATTTTAATATTATTTTAATATTATTTTTTTCTTAGTATTAATAGTATCTTTCTAAGTATTAATAATACTTTTAGGTAGGGCGATAAGTCGTCGATAAGAGTACGCGCAAGACTAATCTACGATGCGGAAAACGCGCGCGATGCGTCTCTGTTCACATGTCGCGCAATTGATCGCGTCTCTCCAACCACCAGTTGTGCAGTTTGCACACGTTTTCCAAGGCGCAATTCTTCGAATGATAGCCGCAGCGATAGACGCGAGTCGCGGCTAGCGTTCGAAGGGGTCCGATATGCTCGTAATCGGCGTCGATGATCTCCATCGTCAGGTCGAGCTCTGCCGCGATTTCGGCCAGCAACTTCTTCTTCTCGAGACTCTTGACGTAGATCGTCACCGCGGCGTTCGACGCGAGATCCCTCGACGCGCGATATATCGCGTCGCGAACGATCTGTTTCGCGTGCCTATACTCCACGTGTCCGTCGGTCCAGTGAAATTCGTGGTGATTAAGAGTCAGCCAACAGGCCTGCGACTTCTCTCTCTTCGTCAGCAGATTCCACGACATCGGCGCGCGAAAGACGTGATGTGTCAGATCTCTGCCGTTCGCGAGTATCGCCATCTCCTTCGTCACGAATCGCTTGTTGACGACGAAACCCTGCAGATCGACGAAGATCGGCGGGGCGATATCGCCCGCGACCGTCGTCGCGGTCATCGTCGCGAGATACTGACGTTTATTCGCGTCTCTCCCCGATATCTTCGCGATTTCGAGTTTCCTCTCTCCCCTCCCGTTCGACGCGTCGTCTTACAGGATTTTACGCACGACGTTCGTCAACGGATTGTACTCCAACACGCGATCGTGAATGATTAGACAGTACGCCGTGGTGTTAGAAGGAACGTTGTCCTTGCAGTCGAATTTTAGACGAACGTCCACAGTGGCGCTCTTAATCGCTTCGTTTTGGCGGGAACAATCTATCACCGCGAGCGGGCCGCAGTATAGAAATTTGTTCATAGTCAGGAGCGTCTCGTCGCTCGCGGATCCGTAATACGTTCGTCGAAATCTTGCGTAGGCGTCGTACAGTACGGCGATCTTGTTCTTATCGAAGTCCAAATTCATATCGTCGTACGGATAGAAGTCGAAATTGAGATACAACTTTACATTGGTCAGATTGCACGCGTCGAATCTGGAAGCGTCCTGCGACAGGACGTCCTTCCTCCTTCCGGTCTGCAACGCGAAGATGACGTAACGCGGTTTCTCGAGTTGCATGGCCGCTTTTACGGCCCACGAGTGTTTGGTCGTGCTCTGCAGGAGCGGAAACTCGTAGAGATCCCACGAGCGAAAGGGCGCGCTCAGATATCTGCTGCTGTCCAACGTGCGCAACAGCGATAATTTGTTGACATCATTCAGCACCACGTGCGGCACGCGCCACTGTATCTTCGCGAGCTCGACTCTCGGCTCGAATTCCTTGCGCGATATCAGACAATTGTTGTCGTTTCGCGCTCTTATCAGAATCAGCTCGTGACGCGCGTTGATGACGACGCGCCTGTAATCCTCGCAGAAACATAGCAGCGTGTCGAGAGGAACGCAGAAGTTGAAGTCGCCCGTCGACGCGACGCCGCTCGGTCCAGTCGCGAGATCTCATCCGGCGTTTTTTAAGATCTTGCCTCGTTCGGCCGTCAGCGAGATGTAGTCCTTGATCGT